AGTGTAGGTAGATGCAGCGCAAGTCTACCGGCACTATAAACCCCTGCGCAAGTCACCGTCCCTGCTCCCACCGCTGCTGCAGCTGTGGGGCACACGGTGGACATCGTCGAAATCGACGGTCGAACTGTCGTGTGTGTGTGTGCATGTGTGTGTGTGTGTGTGTGTGTGTGTGTGTGTGTGTGTAGTGGCGGACTGGTGGGCTGGAAACGGGCTGAAACAGCACCTTCCACGGCCCTCTCACGCAAGTGAGAGACAAGCCACTCGACCCCCGTTGTGTGAATATCCTGGTGTTTGTGCGTATGGGGGGCCAGGTCGTGCTGTGGCGCGCGCAGGCATGGTCAGTCGACCGTGTCAGCCACCGCGGCTTGGACAGCGGCTGGGGTGTGGGGATGGGAAGGGAGAGTAAGGTCGACGACTCAGCGCATTTTCCTCACTATAAGCAATCTGACGCGCTTGAAGCTATCACGGTGCGCTAAAAGCCGTGGCTTGGAAGGTTGCCAACTGACGGGGTAACTTGGACCTCCTCCTTGACTGGAGGCGGTCTGAGAGTCAGGCTGCAATGGCTCCTTCTTAATGTGGCCTTTATGGCATTCCCACCACAGCGTGGGATCCGAGCCAGGCGTTGGCGGCCCGTCCAGGTGCGGCTTCAGCCGTGCCAGCCTCCAAATCTCTGTTGTGTTGGTTGAAATCCTGGTTATTTGTTGTGTGGACCAGGGGGTGTGGTGGAACGCCAAGGTGAGGATCCGTCCGAGCCATCCACCTGCGACCTCCCTCGCCTCCGGTCTTCTTGACTCTGTCTTGACACCGGGCCCAGGCGGGGGAGGAGGAGAGAGTGTAGGTAGATGCAGCCCACGTCTACCCGCACTATAAACCCCTGCGCAAGTCACCGTCCCTGCTCCCACAATGCAGTCTTTGGGGCACACGGTGGACATCGTCGAAATCGATAGTCGAACTGTCGCTGTCTGTGCGCGCGTTTAGCTGTCAAAGGCGATAAGCGTAAGCCGCGGGGACTGGCGGTTCCGGTGCAGCATACAGCCACACTGAGAAAAAAAGAATTTGAAGGCATCGACTTGGTGAAATTCCACTGTTTAATGCTACAGAGGACATAGCTATTTTGTTCCGTAAGCTCTTGTCGGGGGAAGCCGTCGCAGTGGTCAGTAGACATGCAGTGTGACGCAGTGTACGGGCTAACGTCCATTTTTTATCGTAACTGTGACTACAAACAAGTAACTAGTTCTCTGTGGGAGAGCACTAGAGGACCTCTGTAAAAACTGCGTGAGCTCTGATGCATAAAGGAAACCTGATTATCCTCCACTTCTTAAGTTCCCGAGAACTATTCTTCTACAATTCGTGTCAGTATTGAAGAAACACACTCAGACTCATCAGGATCCTCTACTGAATCAGAAACCGCCGCATAATGTAAAGATTAAAAGCCCTTTTTAAAATGGGGATAATCCTGAGTTACAAGGAAGTGCTGAAATTATTAAAGGTAGAATCAGGCCCTTTTAAGATAATTATTTCAGAAAAAAGGTTTATTAATGCCGAAAAGTCGAAAATTCGTTTCACGGGGAGAAAACTGGTGTTTAGAGATTCCTAACGCATGTCATGCAAAAAAATAGATGAGCCGGTATAATATGTCCAAATGAAGCTAAAAAATGCTGACCGTCTTTATGCTCAGATTGGGTCCCCTGCGATAAATGATATCGTAAAGAGTATGACAGTCCACCAGTTATTTTATCTTGAGCTAGATCTTCCAAAATGGTATTCGGGATTGTGGATCGTACTGCAGCTGACCAGGGCGAAGGTGGTTTCCTGGGTAGGAAGGCCAGTGGAACAAAATTTATCGTAATTTTACATGCCAAGACGTTAGCCACTGGACACAAAAACTCGCATGTGCTTGGCTGGCACAAAGATTTGGGTGTCATTT